GGTCGGTGGTTTCAGAGAAACATGGGGCGCCGGCGGGAGGAGCCCCTCTGTTCGTTTCGAACCTCTATATTCTTCCCATATATGCGTCTAATAATTTCTTCCTCTCGTTTATTTTCTGCAGCTTGGACGGGAGACACTCTTTTGCATCCTCTGTTTGTTTGCAACTTCTCTGCTTTTCTCAAGGTATAAACTGCTGTCCATTCTGCTATGTACTTCTGCCATGAGAAAATAAGCAAGATTTAAAAGCATTTGCTATGTACTTCTGCCATGAACATGTATTTGTTATGATATTTCAATTAAGTGGACATTGAGCAGATTCATATCAATTTACTATTGTTTCTATGCTGCATTGTAGATGGATATCAAGCAAAAGAGGCTAATATTTGCGGTTGTGTCATATATGCTTGTCTCGATGATGACATTGGTAGTTCAGTCTAGAAAAAGAAAAAGGCATGCTGTCATATGTTATGGGCCAATAGATGAGAGGGATAGGATGAGAAGTGAGTACCTAGATAATAAAATATGGAGGGATGAAATGACATGTGTGAACGTGCTTAGGCTTGGAAGAGGACCTGACAGTTAAATATCCAAGATTGAGTTGATTCAATGTTGACGTGACATTCAGAACAGAGTCCATTTAACTGTTGTTGCGCAGCTGAATGAACATTAGTGTTCTACAGAAGACAACATTTTCACTTTGCAGCTGACAGCATATATTTAGAGCATGATTTGATACTAAGGCCTTGCATCGCGGTATGTAACCCCGACTAGAGTATTTTAGCCCTTCATGAATATTTGACCAGAGATGCAGTAAAGCACCCATGTCTTACATCCATGGCGCACATTGAAATGTAGACAGACATAGTTAGACCAGATACATGCTGCTCTTAGTTGATTTGACCTTACAGATGTACATAATGGAGCTCCAAGTCCATAAGAAGGCAACAGTTGTCTCTACTCTCTAAACTCTAAGGCCTTATAGCAAGTTAAGAAACAATAGTAACCTGAAGTGGCACCAAAGGAGCTCTCCGCCTAGCTGTGCTGGTCGGTGCTTCAGTGGAACAGCCAGAACGAGAAGCAGCAGCAGCAGGCATTCGTTCGAGAACCCTTGTCACGTCGTTGACCCCAACAGAAAATTGTTGCTACAAGGGCAAAAATCATGAATGCAAAAGAACATCGGAATATTCTGAATTCACTCATGATAACAGAAGTACTCTATCTGCAGTAAATAACTCTATAAACTTCATGTAAGCAAGGATGGCAATACCTTCATCCATATCTTTTCTGGCAAACCTCCCCTTGAAGCCTTGGCAGCCTCCATGCTCCTACAATAGTAGCTCTTTTCAATATTGGAATAATGCAACACAAAGAAACGTTGGGAGAGTAACGGTATTTGCCTACTAACCTGATAAGTTTCGACAATAGTTCATCAAGGGAATCTCCTGTGATGTAATCTGAAGTTACTCTGTTCATGGAGAAATGCCGAGTGATGAGTGAACTGAAGTACCTTAACTTGAATAAGAAGAAAAATAAAAACAGCTACAAAGATCACTAAAAATACAACACCGTGTGGCGATCATGCCGACGGTTGCAACACCGTGTGGACTTGTATTGCTGGGGCAGTTGGATCATTGGGCTTATAATCTTCGTATGCAGAATGTCTTGGGCTCTTGGCCCATAATTGGCTTATCCAACAGGCCGACACACCGAGAAAGCGGCCCTAAAAAACCCTGAGAAAGCACTGCCTTCGCGAACGCATATCCCCTGCCGCGCCGATGCCGTAGCCCCCCTGACTCTGACGCCGTCATGCTGCCGGCCACCGCCACCCGACACAATACCTGCCGCCACCCCGTGCTGCGCTCCCCGAAGGATCACTTCGTGCCCCTAAGCAGCTGTCTGTTCTGTTGGTGCAGCGTCACCCCCGCGGCACGCCGTCTCGTGCCAGTGCTCAGCCCTTCCTCAGTTTCCCTCCATGTCTCCATTGACGACTGCATCCACTCATTTCAACTGAGACTCTTCTCTCATGCCAATGTGTTTTCATACTGACATGGCAGGTCAGCAGCTGACCAGAGGAGGCTGGGAGCATTAGTACAGCAACCAATTCGCCGCAGGTGGAAGGTGAATTTTCTTCTGATATTTGTAACTGCACTAAAGTAGTCTAGGCATTATCGCTATGAAGTACCGAGTACGATTTTTTCTTTAATTGTCATTACGGTTGTTCTTTTTGTTTTGTATATATACTGTAGTAGAATCTTTTTTTGTAACTCCGTGTACCTAAATCATAAATCTTGCCCCCGCCAATATGTTGTTTTGTAATCTTGAATGTAAGTGTGTTAAATAGTTCGTGGCAGTTTTTGGGATAAGTTTAGTCTGTATAAGTTTGCGCTGGACGTACTCCATTTCGGGATCTGCCACTGTTGGTAGATGAATGTAGAAATTATTGTACATCTAGTATAATAAAAAGGGCAGCCGGTGCACAGGGTCCGGAGAAGGTTCCGACCATTTTGGGTCTATTGTACGCAGCCTTTCCCTACATTTCTGTAAGAGGCAGTTTCCAGGACTTTGACCACTGTGCCAAGGCTCCCCTTCTAGTATAATACCATAAAAAAATGCTTTGTTAGCACTGAACTTCAATTTTACAATGTATACAGTGCTGATGTATGTCACGTTTAAGTATGTTTGAAGTTCTTTGTATTTATCCCATTTTGGATGTTCCTTTCTTGCATGTACTGTGTTTGCTACATAGTGAAGGTAGAAATAAGTGAAATTATAGTTTGATTATGTTATTGCTTCATTTAATAGGTCTTCTTCTCGGTTGATAGCACTCTTTTGGTGCCGATGAGCAAGAAGAACAAACCTGAAAAGTCAATCAAGTTGCTGAAAGATGCTGAACAAACGTACACTCTTTGCCCTGTTGTATTTTTAGTGATCTTTGTAGCTGTTTTTATTTTTCTTCTTATTCAAGTTAAGGTACTTCAGTTCACTCATCACTCGGCGTTTCTCCATGAACAGAGTAACTTCAGATTACATCACAGGAGATTCCCTTGATGAACTATTGTCGAAACTTATCAGGTTAGTAGGAAAATACCGTTACTCTCCCAACGTTTCTTTGTGTTGCATTATTCCAATATTGAAAAGAGCTATTGTAGGAGCGTGGAGGCTGCCAAGGCTTCAAGGGGAGGTTTGCCAGAAAAGATATGGATGAAGGTATTGCCATCCTTGCTTACATGAAGTTTATAGAGTTATTTACTGCAGATAGAGTACTTCTGTTATCATGAGTGAATTCAGAATATTCCGATGTTCTTTTGCATTCATGATTTTTGCCCTTGTAGCAACAATTTTCTGTTGGGGTCAACGACGTGACAAGGGTTCTCGAACGAATGCCTGCTGCTGCTGCTTCTCGTTCTGGCTGTTCCACTGAAGCACCGACCAGCACAGCTAGGCGGAGAGCTCCTTTGGTGCCACTTCAGGTTACTATTGTTTCTTAACTTGCTATAAGGCCTTAGAGTTTAGAGAGTAGAGACAACTGTTGCCTTCTTATGGACTTGGAGCTCCATTATGTACATCTGTAAGGTCAAATCAACTAAGAGCAGCATGTATCTGGTCTAACTATGTCTGTCTACATTTCAATGTGCGCCATGGATGTAAGACATGGGTGCTTTACTGCATCTCTGGTCAAATATTCATGAAGGGCTAAAATACTCTAGTCGGGGTTACATACCGCGATGCAAGGCCTTAGTATCAAATCATGCTCTAAATATATGCTGTCAGCTGCAAAGTGAAAATGTTGTCTTCTGTAGAACACTAATGTTCATTCAGCTGCGCAACAACAGTTAAATGGACTCTGTTCTGAATGTCACGTCAACATTGAATCAACTCAATCTTGGATATTTAACTGTTAGGTGTATTCAAGAGCAAAAGAATAAGGGGATTTCATAGTATTGTAAATATGTCCATATCCGCAATACATATATGCTGACACTAAAACTGACTACTATTTCACGTCTTTTTTCATGGTACTGTAGGCTGTCATTATAGCCGCTGATTGCAATCCCAAATGGCTAACAAAGCACATACCAACCCTGGCAAGCACAAGGCAAGTCCCCGTATTGTGCCTCAAGGACAACAAAGGAAGCTCGTTGAGGTTAGGTCAAGTGGCGAATGTCCGAACAGCGCTGGCCATTGGGATAAAGGTAACCTTTCTTTCTTTTCTTGCTGACTGCAGTGCCCTATACTGTCTCTCAAAGTCACTGATGAAATCTTTGTTTCAACTCATATCAGGCCAAAGACAGCATAATCAATAAGACTGTTGACGAAGTGCTGAAGGATTATTATAAGCCAGTGGCCGATGAACAGTAAATTACCCCCCATTCCCAGTCCAGTGGCATGATGAGCTAGATCTTAACCTCTGTGTGCTCAACATTACAAGAACATCTCCAAGGGGGAGGTTTCCTTTTTTGCGGGGACATGGGAGGGTCTCTGAATGTTGTCGAATTGTAGTGCATCAGTCTAATCTCAAGACTTTTGGGTGACATCTTTTGCTGGCAAAACTCATGAAGAATAAGCCTGTAGCTGTGGCTGGTCTGTCGGGTTGGTGCAGTTCGGTTGAAGAAGATGTGCCTGGAACAGCATTTTCTATAACACTGCACTGTACCACAATGCTGTTTTATTGGTCGCTGATGCTGAGTTTTTCCGTATGAATTACGCGAAGCAAAGCAATTTGCGGAAATCATTTTTGTTCGTTGTGGAGTTACTGATGATTAATCCAGTTTCATGTTAAGTTGTATATTAGGGATGGATGATTTTCTGACAATGTGAAGGCAGAAACTAAGATTATGTTAATTTTGATTAGTGTGGCCAGTAGCTCACAATCTAACTCTATGTCTCGCATCCAACGAACAAAACGGCAGAAGACCAACAGTAGAGCCTATATCCAATGGCATCGGCCACAATTTTTTGATTGGCTTAAGATTGAGGTATGCTGTAGAGGGAATCCATTGGCATTGGTAACGAAATATATGATGTGATTGAGATTATGGAAGTACAACTACGTGAGTTGGTTTCGTTGTTTCCTTGCAAGAGATTTCTTGCTATCGAAAATAAATCAGCGGGAGCGGGCGGGAAAACCGTCGCTCCAAGGCTCTGCCATTTCGTTGAGTTGCCGATTTGTTGTTTTCTTGCAAGGAAATTCTTGCTATTGGCGATTTTGTTTGATTTCTGTTGATTGAT